TAAAGGCAATGAACTCGACATCTGTACAATGCTACACACTTTTGTAATTTAAATTGCCAAGTCATAACTCCCCTAGCAAATTTAACCATGTAACCCAAAGTGGACTTTCTGGAACTAATGTCTCCAGCAATATCAGAGTCAGAGTACTCCACTAGAGTATGCTTATTTCCTCCAAAGCAAAGCCTCATACAAGTAGTAACGCGCAGATACCTTAAAATCCATTTTACATCATTCAAATGCTCTCAATGTTGATTTGACAAAAATATACTGACTGACCAATATCATGTGCTATATCTGGTCTTGTACACACCATTGCATACATCAAACTACACATAACAGTCGCATAAGTAACATGTTTCAATAAAATGTTTCATCTTAACTTGAAGGACTTTGATTAGAACTCAACTTGAAATGAGTAGAAAAAGAATAGCTTAGCGCCTTAGAACTTTCCATTATGAATTTTTGCAGCACTCTTTTGATTTAATGTTCTTGTGACATCCAAAGTTTCTTCTCCTTTCTGTCACATAAAAATCTAATGCCAAGAAACTGTTTAGTTGCTCACATGTATTTCATGGAAAAATAACTTGCCCAACTGCATCTTTAATCTATCAATGTCAGAAATATATTTCCTAATAATAAGCACATTATCAACATATAATAACAGGATAATAAAGTCATTGTTAGAAAATTTTCTAAGAATGCGCAATATTCTGAAGTAGTCTTCTGGTATCCTTGATCACACATAACAGACTCAAACTTCTTGTAGCACTATCTTGGAGCTTTCTTGAACCCATATAAACTTTTTCTCAATCTGCACTCATGATCTTTTTTCCCTTTAAGTTGAAAACCACCGGGTTGTTTCATGTAGATCTCCTCCTTCAAATTAACATGAAGGAAATCAGTTTTCACATCCATTTGCATAACCTCTAAATCAATAGTAGCATTCAAACTCAAAATGATTCTAATTGATGACATCTTTACAACAGGTGAAAAAATATCATTAAAATCAACACTCTTTCTTTGACAGGAACCTTTCACCACTAGTCTGGCTTTATATCTTGGAGACTAAGAGTTACTCTCATATTTAAATCTATAAATCCACATGTTTTCCAAAGTACTTTTGTCTTTAGGAAACTTCATTAAATCATAAGTGTGATTATCATGCAATGATTTTCATCTCATCATTCATTGCATCCAACCTCTTTTGATTTTCATCACTTTCCATGGCCTCTTAAAAACACTCAGGTTCACCCTCACCAGTCAAAGTCACATACTCATGAGAATTATACCTTGCAGAAGGTTGTCTCTGTCTGTTAGACCTCCTAAGTTGAACATGAGATAATTCTGGAGATTCACCAAAATTCTCATCTTGTGACACATCATTCTACCTTTCATCATCATTAGTTGGAATATTTACCTCATCTCTAAGTTTTTGATCATCAACATATTCATATGGCTCACTCATCATTCTGATCATCACTACCAATAGTATCCAAATTATGAACATGTAATCGAATTAGATCAATATTTGACAAGATGATATCTTTCTTGGGTGTAGTCTTATCCATTTTATTTATGTCTCTAATAGTTTGGTCTTCCATGAATTCCATATTGTGACTTCTGATAAGCTTCTTCCCTATAAGATCACACAACCTGTAATTAAACTCATCTTTCCCATAGTCGACGAAGATACATTGTTTTGAATTTGCATCCAACTTGGATCTTTCATCCTTTGGAATATACACAAAAGCCTTATAACCAAATTCTCTTAAATGATAATACTTAAAATTCTTTCCAAACCAAATTTTATATGAAACTTCACTATTCAAAGCAACATTATAGGTGAGATTAAGAACATGCACCGCAGTGTAAAACGCCTCACCCCAAGAATGATTGAGCAACTTATCTTCATAGAGCATATAACTCTCTCAATTAGCGTTCTATTCATCCTCTCTGCTAAACCATTCAATATATGAGTTTTAGAAGGAGTCTTTTCATGTGTAATACCATGTTGCTTGCAATAGGCGTCAAATGGTCCACACTACTCACCACCATTGTCCGAACGAACACATTTCAACTTCTCGCTCGTCTGCCTCTCAACCAAAGCATAAAATTCTTTGAACTTCTCAAACACTTGGCATTTTGTCTTTAAGGCATAAACTAATAATTTCCTGTAACAATCATCAATAAAGGTAATAGAATAAAGTGCACCACTAAAGTATTTTACCTTAATGAACCACAAACATTATAATATACCAATTGAAGCAACTTTAACTTCCTTGAGGGAAGATGTCTCTTGAAGGATACTCTAGTCACTTTACCAACCATGCAATGAGAACTCTTCTCCAAATTTGTATTCTTTAGTCTTGGAAGAACATCTTTTTTGGCCAAAACATTCAGCCCCTTTTCACTAATATGCCTAAGTCTCCGGTGCCACAAAGATGCTTCTATGCTGATAACATTCACATTGTTCCCAGGAACCAAATCTTTTTTTCAATATAGTTTAGAAATCTTCTCCCATCTAGCCACAATTAAGTTACTTTTGTTGAGTTTCCACTTTCTAGAAAAAAGTGATTGTCATAACCACAATCATCAAGCATATGCATAGAGATAAAACTAAAGCGGATATTTGAAGCATGTTTGAAACCTCTAAGCAACAATTGCATTCCCATGTTTGCTTGTAAGCAAACATTACCATTGCTAATTACCTTATAAACACCATCATTAGCCATATCCAACACTTAAAGTTACCTGAAGTATAAGATGAAGAACTCATTCCATGATGTAACATGTAATGTAACACCACTATCAACTATCTACACGCTCTTGTCTGATACAAGATTAACATATTATTGTAGGTATTTTCAACATAAATATTTATATTATCATTTTCTTCAGGGATTTGTGTGATATTATTGTCGTTCTACAGTTATAGTCGTTTTAAGTTTAAGTTTCATAAAAGGGGTTGATGTTGGTTTTAGTAACGGAAAATGTCAGTTTCATGCAAAATATCAAGTTTAGGTAAAACAGAGTTTTAGTTTCAAATGTTTGGTAAAAGTGTGTCAAGATTAGGGCTCGATAATCTCTTCCGGACATATTTTCTCAATCAAGTATGTGAACTCATTAATCATAAATATAATCACATATCCTCTCAAGATGTTTCATCTCTAAAATAAAATGTGAGTTTTATCAAATTGATCTTTAGATGATCTCTCTATCTAACTATCAATTTGATAACTTTAAAAGCTCAATATTAGTGAATATCAACTCACAAAACTATGTCTAGAAATTGTTCATTGATAAGTGAAAACCTAGGTCTAGAGATGAACACACTTCTCAATAATGATCAACTCAAATATAAACCATAAAACAAGAATTTTCACCATATATTTATCATCAAGATGTTCACATACAAATGATCAAGCTAAATACATATAAAAAGGAAGATTATCTACCTCTAATCTTGACACCAAGGATGATTTAGCTACCCATCATCATGGTAGTTTGCTCAACAAGGAAAGTATGAAGCTTGATGAACATCAACAAGAAAATATCAAAGATTTGAGGTAGAAATCTTTGATCTTGAGTTACAAAATGATAAAAGTTGTTTCTTAGCCCTTAAAATCGTATTTGTGTATGTTGTACAAGAGTTGGTGGTCAAAATATCACAAAAATATATATTTATACAAGTGCCTAAAAAGTGAGTCTCGCTAAGCAGCCAGGGCGCGTTAAGCGGGCTCAGCGCAAAAATTATTAATTCTATTTCAGTGGACCGTGCTAAGCGGGACGAGGCCTCTTAGTGGGACCAAAAAAATATCCATTATGTCAAATGCGCAAAATACTAAAAGCGCACTGCAACTTGCGCTTAGTGTGCTAGGCTGAACAAAACTTCCAATTTTGACTTGTTGCACCACATTCTTGGCTCTAGCTTGCCTAAAGCTCCAATGCTCCAATGTTCCAACATCAAAACCTACAAAATGAGCAAAAAACTAAGTAAACAAAGTGATGTATCTTAAAAACTATATAATTGCTTATTTACATCTATTTACAAACTTAAACACTACTAATTATCAAAAATAGAGTGCCAAAGACACAAAATTATCTACAAATATATCAACAATTTTGTCCCTAACACATACTCATGATCATGTAGAATAACAAGATTATAACTAGTAGCATTAGAAACACGATCATCATCGTGATCTTCATGATATCTTTTTTTTTTTTAGATTTACCTTTCTTGCATTTGTTATCCCTTTTCCACTAATAATAATACTTTTGTATGTGTCATGTTTTGTGACAATAATGACACTCTATATTCTTGTATCGCATCTTGGACTTACTTATTCTATTATCTCTACCACCCCTCAATTCCTTTTTCTATCTTCTCCCCTATTTTCAGTGACAAGTACCTCAAATTAAGAGGAAGAATCATGTGCCTTCCTTCTCATATCATCATTAAAAATATCACCCTTAGCCGTTTCCAAAAAAACAACACCTCTAAGAGCATAACTTGTGATAGAAACCCTAATATGTCTCTCAAGACTCTAGAAAAGATATCAATAGAAATAGTCTTAAAAGTTCATCATCAAATTTGATACTCATTCCTGATATCTGATCAAGGAGCCCTTAAAATTTACTCAAGTGATATGAAATAGAAGTCTCCTCCTTATACTTCAAACTTATTAATCTATTCAACAAGAACAATTTATTATTCCCTGATTTAGAGGCATACAAAGACTATATCATCCTCTACAAAGTTTTTGCATGTTATGGTGTTAAGAAAGTTTCTCGCAAATGTTATCTCAAGTTAGATGATACTATTCATTATCAATATAATTATAAACATTATCTTCTATATATTTCCGAACAAAACCATATACCTGTAGATGTTCAAACTCTCATTCGTCATCAGACACAAAAATTGGCTTTGCAGAACTAAAAACCGATAAATACAATATTTTCACAAATAATAAGTATTTCAATTTTCCATTCCACAAATGGTAATTAAAACCATTCAATAATATCATCTTCATATTTGTAGTTGACTATATTATTCAAAGAAGTAAAATAACCCCTAACCAATAGCTATAATGTCACTCTGATGGAAAATTAACACACAATAACATACCAATATGCAATAGATATAAAATTCTCCAAACTTGTTAGAACCTATAAGGATCAATCAACAAATATATAACGTCAATTCGAAAAAATAAAGGCATAAGGGAACACCTATATTTTAACGTGGAAACCTCTTCAATATGAGAATTAAAATTATTAGTCGTCCAGACCAAAGAAATAACTTCACTATAATAAAATATGGGTATAAGAGTCTTAAAGTGATTCTCAAACTAGTGTTCACAACCGCAAAATCACAAAGCAAATTAGCTTACAAATAAGAATCAAGAAGTTGAAAATTACCCAAATTTACAGCTTCAGTTTGAAGCAATCATCTCTCAGCTTAGACTTTGCTTTGAAGATTCCAACAGTCAAAAGATAGACACATGTGTTGCGAATCTGCCCTCCAAAATTGAATTCGATTTATCAGTTAACGAATCCTGAATCAGTAATTAAGTGAGACTAATTATAAAAAAACAAGAATTGAGTCTTTCTTCTTTTTCCTCTTTTGTAATTGATTTTGTGTCACTTTTTCTTTCCTTGTCTCAACTCTAAATTGACCATCGTCATTTAAATAAGAGACACAAATAACTTAATATATTTAAATTTTTCTCCACGTAAAAAGAGAGACCAAACCCAATATCTAACCTGTTTTTATCATCGCTATTTTGATTCCAAATATATACTTACTCCATTTTTTAATTACTTTTTTTTTTTGAAAATTTTACGTTCTTTTAAATCATCGATTTCAAAATTCGAAGTAATATTAATTATTGTTAACCCTTATGATTGACATGTTAGTGAAAACTCGAAATCTAATAACATATTCTTTTTAAAATTCAGCTTGAATTATGCTAAATGCTAACCATCTATGTTTATATTCAATGCTTTCAAGGTCGTAATTTGAAAATTATCCACTACCAATTAATTCTTCGATTTAGGATGTGATCACATTTATTATTTATTATTGACGTGACACTTACTAATTCTCATAGTCGGTGTGACTATTTAAATTTAAATGCAAAACATGCAACATAGCGACTTATGCATAGTAGAGTGAACAAAATTCCTAATTAAGCATTCAATTTCTATGCCATTTTTATTATTATTCTTTTTAAAGAAAAGTAACACTATTGTAAATATGAGGTATTTACAGTTTGGTTTGGAACGATTTTAAAGTAAAAAATTATCTTATTTAAAGATAAATTTATTTGTGATTCGATTCGATTTTAAATGATATCTTAAAAAAATTTAATTCGATTCGATTTAATTTTATATAATTTAATTTCGATCAGTTATTTAATATCTAAATTACACATTATATTTTTATTAATATTATAAAATTACTAATAAATCATAAATGTGATGTAATATATAACATATAATATATTAAAAGTTAATATTACAAAATGAAAGTGGTTGATTATGATTGAAATAATAAAAATAAATAAATTATATCAAACTAATAATTATTATTTAAAAAATTATTATCATCTAATAATAAATTCACGTAACATATCATATTGATAAAAAATAAATAAATATAAAACTATATGTATGCGGTTTGATTTAGTTTGGATCGATTTTAAAAAATTGATACGAAATCTAATTCGAACGGATCGGTTTTCACAAAATGACATCCAAACACATCTAATAAATTTCAATTTTTTACGATTTTTAATTTTTAAATCGATTTTTATTTAGATTGGTTTGAATTTGAACACCCCTAATTACAAAAGATAAGTCACTATTAGAAATACACTTATTAGGAAAATAATCCATAGATATATATGTAGATTTTCATCGACTTCTTTAAATAGAATTAATTTTCCTGCTTTAACAATAATGCACAGCAAATTCCGCAGTAATACTTGCAGATTTTGTCGCGAATACTAGATTTTAATAAAACATAAACTAGATTACAAAATTTGCAGGAAATTCTACTGTGGATTTTGCTGTGGATTTTTTATTAAGAATGAAACCCAATCTTTTATACAAAATCCACATGTAATTTAACAGGAAATATTTCTATAGGTTTTGTTACTGATTTTATTTGTATTATATTTTATTATTTTATTTAAATTAAAATATAATGTAAAATATTTTTCGTTTAAAATAATTTTTTTTCTTTCAAAAGTTTAATAGATTTTAATATTTATTAAAAATAATGGTGTTTTTTTTATAAATTTAATATTTTTTATATATTTTAGTTTACAATTCAAACTTAATTTGAGTTTTCAACATTTATTAAAGTTTTAATTTTAAAAGTCCTACTTTAATGATATAATGTGTTATAGAAAATTATATTTGATCTCTTTGTTAAAATATCAATTATATGTTATTTAATTTATCTCTAGATAATTTTATTTAATTTTACATTTAGTAGAAAGATAATTTAATTTAATGAGTATTAAAATTGATTTTAGTTTTATTATTATTTTCACTTAAACTATTTTATTTTATTAAAAATGTTTATTTGATATTTTAAATTGAGTTTGAGAAATAAATTAAGTGTTGACAATTTCTATCTGGGCTTACATTGAATATGGGCTTGAGGTGAATCAAACTTACCTTCCTTTGAAACCCTACCGCCGCCGCCGCCGCCGCCACCGCCACCCATTCCTTCACCACTTTCCGACCACCACGACTCCCAACGGTAAGCGAGCAACGTTTTTGTACTCCTCATCATCTCTTCTCCTTGATAAACCGAGTAGATCATTGTTTCAGTCCATCTTCTCCGACCACCCTCTCGTTTTCGGCCGCCACCTTTTCGTCACGGAGGTGAGTTTTCTGGCCATTACATGTTTAGGTCGTCTTCTCCTTTCTCTTCCTTCTCTGTGTCGAGCTCATCCATTTCTTTTCAATCCGTGTTGAAATCGAGCTGTTTGAAACGGAACCACCGTGTCGGTTTCCCTCAGGCCACCGCGAGCTTCATCTCCTAAAAGGTTGAGTATTCTTTTTCCCTAATCAATCAGTTTTACTCCTAACGTTCAAAATCTTGATTCTTTTTTGTGTTAAGTGTATTGCTGTTATACTGTTTGATGAAATGCCTTGTAGAAAAATTTATTACATGTATTTCTAAACTAGTGCATGCTGAAATCACTCCAGGTGTTGGATTTTGGAATGAATCACTTATCTGGACCAATTCCTGCAGAGATTGGAAATTTAACTCTACTTGTGAACATAGAAATTCAATATGCTAGTTCTTATTGGAAATTATTTCCTCTCCTACTTACTCACTCAATTTTATGTATTCTTATAGAAACTTGCAGTCCCACGGGTAGACTGGTAGATTACCTCCTAAGCTTGGAAATTTGAGATACCTTCAAGAACTTTGGCTGGCTTGATAGGAACAGGCTTCAAGGATCCATTCCTGCTAGTGGCACCTATAGTTTTGCTTCAACTATGCATGGAATGTGAGTGTAAATTTTGTAATTGAATTGTATTATAGTGATAATGGAGAGGAGTTTTGTTACTGTTTCCTAGAATGTCACTTACAAACGTTTCTTTATAGTTGATTAAATCACATAGAAATTTGTGTTCTTTAACCACATCTAGCATTATGATATTTACTGTTAAGGAGATATATTGGGTATAGACGAAATTTGGATAGGATTATTTATTTCTGGTTCCCATTTGATGTTAGCATTTTTCTCCTCAACTTTACTTGGAAAACATACATACATACTTTGTTAATGTAGGTTAACTTTCTTAGTGTGTACGTGTATATATTTAATCAATCCTTTTAGTTCCTTCAACATGAGATTTTGACTGCGTAGATGAAGAAGGATGCCAGTACTCCTGGACAAGGCGTATGAAAATCGTTATAGGAATTGCGCACGGACTCAATTATTTGTACACAGAAGTTGAACCTCTGTTCACTATTTCAGAGCTAAATTCTAGTGTCGTATACCTAATGGAAGATTTTTCGCATAAGATATGCCCGCTAGTTAGTTCACTTCAAATCATAACTCTACAAGTGCGACTTTTCGCTTGATTTCTTATGTCAGTCAAGAGTGGGCAGAAATATAGGAACAAACACCTATTTTTATAATATCTATACGATGCAATTGTTCTGTTATATTGCAAATGTAGGTTGAATTTTGGATTAAGGAATAGCCTGTTCTGTTGATTGAGTCTTTCCTGCCTGTACTAAAAAAATCTGTGCTTAGCATAAATTAAAATACTATACATGCCAACAATAATTTTCTTGAAAGTGATAACAGTATTCCTAAAGAAAAATATACTCTAATTTCAATTATCTTAGGACTAGAATATATGTTTATTCTAGTTTTCATGGTACATTTATATAATGGTTGGTTATTGTGTGTAGGTAATGGCTCGATCTTTGCCTCTTGATAAGCACACCTTAGTGATGCATTTAAGGAAGGACTTTAATGAAGTTGTGGCAGTAAGAGGTGATGGGACCAATGAAGCCTCCAGCTTTGCATGAAGCTGATATTGGATTTGCTGCCTTGACGCGATTCTGAGGGTGATTGGGAAGTCGCGACACTGCTGGGCTGGCTGTTCGCAGCCGGACTTGTGCGCGGCGGTGGATTCCTTCGCGACGATGTCGATCTCGTGAATCTTTTCTCTTCTTTCCTTTTCTGCTTTCAATTTGGTTACCGATTGTAGATCTAGATTAAATCCTATAGTATTTTGTTTTTTCATATTAAAAGTACATCTCAAGTCTTGCTGAATTAATTTGTGCGGCTTTTCTATGATATATCCTATGGATTTGAAATTATGAACCATCTATTAATTGCCTGCGTGATGAACTCGAATAGGCTGAAGTTAAGAAAGCTGAAAGCGCCATCAAGAGCATGGGTGCATTGTTTTTGCAAGTATGCTCAGGTACACAGCTGTAAACCTCTGAACTTTTAACTCTTGCTATATATACTTTTTGTACCCAGATTTTTTTTTCAAAAAAAAAAACAGTAGCTATGGTTTTTTGAGATGAAATTTGCATTTGCGTTTTGGTAAATATTGGATTTTCTTAGTTATATTTTTTATTAATTAAAAAGATTCATAACTTCCTGGTTGGGTAGTGCTAATTATATGCAGTATAACAAGCTTTAGCATTAACATCAATCTTCAAGTATTTAATTCCCCTCCCCTCAATCTCTTAATTCGAATGATCTTGAACATAGAGAGTAATGACTCTATTTTATTGGTGAGGGATTTTAGTCAATATTAGTGGTGATGAAGGTGATGGTTGATGCTCTCCCAGTCCTTGTACATACTACATAAGTAGTTCTGCTATAACTCTCTTCTTTTTATATCAAAATATTCGTTTATGTTCTTGTGTAAGAATTCGGTACATGAGTTAAAGCCTCAAAATATTGGACATTTGGAATGTCTTGTAGGCTTTTGTGAGTGAGTATGCTCTAATTGGAGAGAAACAAGCTAAGCGTAGAACCCTTTTTGGAGTTGTGTCTGAAATCTGGATTCCTTATTGGTTTAGAAACAAAAAGGTCAGATTGTACCTTTATATCAGCTATGAAGCCGTAGTATAGTTATAGAGACACCAAAAACTTTAATGTCACAAGTCGCAACCATAACTGCAATCGGAGATCATAATTTAAAATCTTGATTTATCTTTACACTTTTTTCTATACAATATTTTGAAATATCAACTATGTTTATACTTTATGTTTCCTTTAAAGGTAGTAGAACTGATAGAAGAACTTTGGAATTTGGTAAGACACATGTATTGAGGCCTAAAGGAAAACACCAATCTACTATAGTTTGGCTGCATGATCTTCGTGATAATGGTTTAAGGTATGCATATATGCCATCACTGGTTATTACTTTTGCGGTCCGAGTTTTTTATAGTATTGTTTTTATCTTGAAGCTTTCTTGTATTGAGATCTCTTTTAATATAATTTTTCACATGTTATTCGCTTAAAATTATAGACATCTTCTGTGAAGCATGCCAAATGTCTTAGATAGAATACTATTAAGCAAAATATAGGATCAAAGAGCTGCAGTGTTTGTTATTCCAATTTTCTTATTGTTGGATAGGATTCTGAATGATTAGGTTGATATACATGCAGGTTTATGAACTTGGTTGGAAGTAGGATGAGTTAGAGCATCTAGCTCAAGGATCTCTGGTTGGCCATCTTCTAGAATGTGGTTGTCAAATCAAATCACAGGCGGATATTTCATGCATCCAGGTTTGCTAATATTCCACATGGTTTGAGATGTAATAATATAATATAAGTCGCATGTAATGTGAAAGCAATGATTCTTTACGCTCTGTCTTGTTTATTTCAGGAGACAGGTATCGAGATATGTCCTTCCAACAATCAAGGGATTTATTACCTTGAGGTTCCAACCGATGTGATGACAGTTTTAACCACTTTCTCGGCCTTTTCACCACTTCCTTATGCTGAAATTCGTTTTGATGGAGCAGTGTGTGGGGCAAAGGCTGAAGGTAGTGGCGGAGTTCTAAATTTTATTCCTAGTTTTGGTTTGAAGTTTTCTCTATTAATCAGTTTAGTATTATTGATTCAATGAATCAGAACATTGCTGCGAAATCAAGTAATATATTACATCCATCAATAGTAGAGTTTAACTTTGGTCACTGTTTGTGTTCACTAAAAAAGTAACATAATGGTCTGTTTGCTGTGCAGGCTGCTTCTGGTTTGTTCTATACCAAGTGCAGAGACATGTAGCCCTGTTGACGAGGAGGTGGAAAGTCGGAGACATACAATATTTGAAATCTAGGTTGAAGTTACATTTGATTTGTTATATCCATAACTTAATATATCATGAGATTCATCTTAAATTTGAACATATTCCAGTCATGGAAATGAATTTGATGATGCAGTTTTGTGATAGTTTATTATAAGTTTTATGATAGGAATTTTATAATCTCAAGATGAGTTACTTTAGGCCTTGGAGACTAAAAATATTTGCTTTTTGTTGGGTTTGAATATTATTAACAATGAGTAATAGTTATGAATGTCTTTAATATTGTGTATGTATTCATATTTTTTTTATTTTTACTTTTCCATGTTATAAATTAGTTTCAATTTATCAATTAAATTTAATTAGTTAATTTTTTATTTTCGAAAAATATTAGCTACGGAATTATCTGTAGATTTTGATTCCTGGTGTGGATTTTATTTTCTGCGGTTTTACCTGTTATAGGTTGATAAAAAATGTTTCGTACCTCAGATCGCATTAAAACGAGAGGAACATAAAAAGTCGGGTTAACACGTCTCCCTGAAGTATGAACCCTGTCTGGAACCAGAAAAGCAATAGCCTAAGGTGGCGAAGAAGTAACTTTGGGTATCCTCTTCAGCTAGAGCATTGTTTTTGTAGAAACCCATTTAATTAATTTCCAAGCAAAGGCAAACAAACAACAAAACTCTCACTTTAAATCGGTAGGATAAAGAAAAAAGGAATCTTCCACCCCCTTACCAAATGTTTCACACCTTTTAGCATTGGTAGAGAGGCATCCATTAGCAGACACGTCTTCTTAGAAGGCAATCATCATGTTCTTTAAATAACTATCTGTTCTGGACTGGGCCGGGCCGGCCCAAGCGCAACGATAAAAGCCCAATCCAAATGGACTTGCTAGGGGTCACGCTGATCCAAGGACCATAGCTATGCCCGACACACGTCACTGGGCGACACCCCCGTCCTCGTACTGTCCAGTTCGACCTCAGCTCGAGCGCTCCTTCGCCAGCAGACACGGTCCACTGCACTCTCAACGGGACTCCGAAAAGACCGCGTCCTTGTCCGCCCGCACTTCACGCAGAACATCCAGGAAGGGGACCACGTGCGGGTCCCCACTACGCACGTATAACCTGACAGTTTCTCCATTGGGCCAAACCTGCCCGACCCAATGAAGGAACCTTGGCCCAGCGCTGGGGGCTATAAATACCCTCTGTTTCCAGAGGGTCAGGTATTCAATCTATCACATATACTCACACTTTTGTCTGCTCGTACTCTTACTTACTTCAGCATCAGAGTGCCTTGCAGGTACCCCCCCACCTCGTTCAAAACTTCAGCTCGGAGCTAGCCGTGACGGTCCAAGTCTGATCAGGTGAGATCAGTGGCGCCGTCTGTGGGAATCTAGCTTCCCCGTCTTGCAAACTCAAAGACCAAAGCTCAAATTCAACTACCTATCATGGCTGATCAAGCTCGTGATGAGCAGAACATCCGCGTCGTCGACACTAATAACGACACCGCGGACAAAAACGGACACCTTGATAACGCCGACAACCCCGACCACAACACCATTCCTGCGACGACCGCCCCCGGAACTTCCTCCTACAGGGACGGAGCTACTGCATCATCCTCATCGGTCCCTCCACCACTTGAAGACGACCCGGCGGCCCTTGCACACTACAGAGTTGCCCGGTTCCAGGAAGTCCCCGTCCCCGCCGGGGCGGATGCCACAACTCAAGCGCTGTTCACAGCAATTAATCAAACAAACTATCTCATCTTCGCCCAAGGGGAGAGACTGAGGGCGCTTGAAGACGAGCGAAGACCCCCGAGGAGGCACCGGAGACCCCATACTCCCCCTCCTCGAGTAGCTGAAGCTCGACATCCATCTCCCCCGCGGAGACATTACAGGGAGACCTCTCGAAGCCAATCTCCCCGGCCAAAAGAGAAACGACCCTATCTGGAGAGGCCCCCCGTCATTCAAGCCGGAGAACCTAGTCGTGACCCGACGAGACACGAAAGAAGGCACTCTGGAGATGGGCGTGTGAAATTCAACCACCGAGCATCCCGCTCGAGAGAGACTCAGCACGACCTGGACCGCCGTGCCAGACAATATTACAGGTCCCCATCTCTGTCTCTAGAGAGAAGCGACGAGGACGACCCCCGCGATCCCCTATCACAGGCTATTATGGAGGCACCCATCCCCCCGGGCATGGAGAAGCCCCCTCACTTGAAGGAGTACGATGGAGTCGCGGACCCGGTCGACCACATAGACGGGTTCGAGGCTATGCTTCATTATCACAATGTCGGGGGCCCCATCAAGTGCCGTCTATTTCCCACGACTCTCAGGAAGGCGACGATGGACTGGTACAAAGGACTCGCCCCGGGCTCAATTACCTCGTGGCGGAACCTGAAGAACCAGTTCATCAGTTCCTTCACAGCTTCTCGGCGGCACCCGAAGACTAAGGCGGATCTCGAGGCCATCATCCAAAGACAGGATGAAACCTTGAGGGAATTCATCAACCGTTTCAACCGAGAAGCAATACAGGTCCCCTGTGCGGACCATATGAAAAGATATTTGCTGGAGAGAGGGCTCCTCCCCGGCACGGAATTCAGAAAGGCTGTGGGTATCGAGCCACCTCAGACATTCGATGCCCTCCTCGAAAAAGCCTGAGCATACATGGACTACGAGGAGAGGGAAGCGGCCAACAGAGCCCGAGATTCCAGGACTCGTGGTCCCAACAACAGCTCGCGCCAAGAAGCTCCTCCTCGACGAACCGGGGAGAAAAGGAAGACAGGCCCCGGGAAGTCCGGGAACAAAGAGGACCCTCGGGGCGTTTCACCGAGTACACTCCGCTCACGGCTTCCCGCGAGCGTATTCTGGCGGAGTGTGCCAGCACTGATTTCAAGGACGGCGGTGTCAAACGTCCCCGACCTGCTCCCGCCAAGCCCGGAGCAGACAAAAACAAATATTGTCAGTACCATAGGAGCCATGGTCACCTGATTGAAGATTACGTCCACCTCAAGGACGCCATTGAAACCCTCATCAAGGGAGGGAGGCTCGCGCAGTACCGGCGAAGCGACGCTCCCCTTCGTGACGCCCAAGAAACCAGGGAGCCAGAAGAAGACGCTCGACCATCTGACGAGTCGGTGCCCATCCAAACTGCCTTCTCTGTGACCAGGCCCGAGGACTTCGACTTCCCCGAGCACCTGCAAGAGCCACTTACAACGCACAGCAGGTGGGAATACTTCTCCTCTGCCCTGGTCATCAACGGCGGCGGGTTCAACGATTTTACCATCAATTCAGCCAAGAGGAAGCTGGACGAGCTGGTCGACGCGGCTCCCCCGCAAACAGTGACGTTCGAAAGGGTGAAGGGCAGGTCAGAGCCCATCACCTTCTACCTAGAAGAAATCCATGGCGGAGCCCCGAACGCGGTCATCCCCTTACTGATAAGGGCAAGAATGGCCAATTTTGATGTACATCGCATCCTGGTCGACGAAGGGAGTTCCATCGACGTCATGTACAACCAACTGTTCCAAACCCTACAGCTGGACGACTCACATCTCTCGCCGTATGTAGGGTCGGACTTACAAGGTTTCAACGGCTCGACCTCTAAACCTTGGGGATATGTCGAGCTTTTGGTTACGTTCGGTGAAGGGACGGCTACAAGACAAGTCAAAGTACGCTTCTTAGTCATCGACTGCCCGTCTCTATATAAATGCATCTTGGGGAGACCGACACTGGCAGAGCTGACAGCGGTACCCTCAACCGTCCACCTGAAGATGAAGTTCTACACCAAGAGGGCACGAGTAGCTACTATCCAAGGAGACCTAGCCGCTGCCTGCAGGTGCTTCAACGCTGCTTCTAAGGGACGTGATACTGTCGACATAGGGACCAGACCCGCCAAAAGGACAAGACAGGAGCCCGACAAGAAAGCATCCCCCGAGGAAGAAGTCCAGAGAGCTCCACCAAAGGTCGACTCAATAGCGCTGGACACTCGTTTCGACAAAGACGAACCTCTCAGCGGCGAGCAAGCCCCACTCCGCCCAATACCGGATGGGGACTTCGAGCTCGTCCACCTCGGCACCGACCCGACCAAGGGAGTAAAGATTGGCAAAGATCTCCCTGACCTGGCGAGGAAACAAATCAAGGCCTGTTTGCGCGAGAATGCCAATCTGTTCTCCTGGAGCGCTGCGGAGATGCCCGGACTCGACCCTGAGGTCGCCTGTCACCACCTCGCCATTGATCCAACCGCTAGGGCCGTAGTACAACGTAGGCGTAGGCAGTTTCCAGAAAAAACGGAGGCTACTGAGAAAGCTGTAAAAGACCTCCTAGAGGCAAACTTTATTTCTGAAGCCCGGTACTCCACCTGGTTGTCAAATGTTGTACTCGTTAAAAAGAATAATGGAAAATGGAGGATGTGCGTTGATTATACCGATCTCAACCGGGCTTGCCCGAAAGATGCTTTTCCTTTGCCTAACATAGACATGCTGGTCGACAACTCGGACGGCTACAAAACGTTGTCGTTCTTGGACGCCTACTCGGGATATAACCAAATCCCGATGGCCCTGGGCGACAAACACTGCACGGCATTCATGACCAGCTCGGGCAACTATTACTACACGTAATGCCCTTCGGACTGAAAAATGCCGGGGCAACTTACCAACACATGATGAACAAGGTTTTTCACAAACAGATAGGCGACATGCTCGAGGTGTATATGGACGACATGATCGTCAAGTCCCGAGCAGACACCGACCACACAGCACACCTCAAGACAGTCTTTGCCCAAGCAAGACAATGTAAAATGAGGTTCAACCCCGAGAAATGTACATTCGGGGTTAAGGCGAGAAAATTCCTCGGATTCTACCTAATAGAACGAGGAATTGAAGCCAACCCCGACAAATGTCGGGCGTTCTCCGACCTCCCGACACCAACGTCGAAGAAGTCGATACAAATCATGAACAGAATGCTCACGCCACTATCCCGCTTCGTCGCGAGATCCGCTCAGCACGCCCTCCCCTTCTTCAAACTCCTTCGAAAGGAAGCAGCCTTCGAATGGAATGAGGAGTGCGAGCAGGCACTACGCCACCTAAAGCAAAGCCTATCTCAGCCGCCCGTGCTATCCCGACCTGCCGACGAGGAGCCACTGTACTTGTACTTGGACGTTTCGA